TGCTCTCCTCCCTCCCCCTGCTCTATCTCTCTTTTCTTTTCAGGGTTGTTGGCTACGAGATTAAGGAACTTAACTAGAGTAGACTCTCTCCTTCCCTCCCTTCCTCTCATCTGTCCACAGTAGCATTTCTATGGTATTTCATAGTCAATTTGTTATGAGATTTACTATAACCTGTGAAAATCGTTGCATTATGCGTTCAAGTGCCTGAAGAGCTAGGTGTATTCTTAAAAGTCCTGAGAGGTTACCCACATACCTTAGTCTAGAAAGAAAAGTGAACAAGCAAACAAATTAACAAAAGAATCAAACTTGTTGTTGATATTCTGTGACCTTCGGTGCCAATTTATTAAGTTACATTCATTAAATACATTAACACATACATTTCATTTACAGAGAATGGGATTTATACAGTAGTGCCCAAAGACAAAGGGCACATACCAGTTAAGTACATATCTAACAACATACAATATGCATTTTACCTTGGGCTTGTGACGTTTTAACATAAAACATAAAACTAATGAAAGTGCATAGGGCTTATCACATAAACACCTACATTTGTTCAATCTGTACACCCCTCACACAAAAGAGGGGAAATTACATATTTTAATGGCTTTAATTTGGTTAAATTCAGCTGATGGGACAGTGGTTAAATGCTTGTCTGTGAACTGAAAGGTCAGTGGTTTGAACCCACTAGCTATTCTGTGGAAGAAAGATGTGGCTGTCTGCTTCCATGAAGATTTACAGCCTTGGAAACCTTATGGGGCAGTTCTACTCTGTCCTTTAGGGTTGCTAGAAGTTGGAATTGACTCTATGGCAATGGGTTTGGGTTTTTTTTTTGGTAAGTTCAGCTGCTTTATGTGCTTGACATTGTGTGTTTCTTTCCTCCTGAATTATGTACTAGGAGAGTGGGACTCACTCGTTATGTTCCCTCTGGACCCCCAGTATATAGGTAAAAGCTATTGTGCAACAGATGCTCAAAAGGAACGGATTGATGTATGCGCTTGAAAGACCACTGTGCTTGGTGTCAGGAGATATGAATCCCAGTCTTAACACTACCATGGCTACTGCCTGGCATTGAGCCAGCTAGGTCACCTCTCTGAAGCTGGGTTTATTCGTCCTTCCAAAGATGTAAGTTGGAGTAGACAAACTCTGAAGATCCTGCCAACTCTAAAATTCCATGACACTTTTCTACTGGCCAAGATCTCAGAGTTACTTCTTGTTGGATACTCTCTGAACAAGTGGGAAATGACAGTCACATCTAGGCTGGAAGCCTCTGAACCCTTGACAAGGTTATCAGGTTCTTAATGATCAAGTACAGCACATGGAAGTCAATAAAAAGATGGCTGCATCATCAGAGCTTTGGAAAAGATCTCAGAAATCCTTTGGCCCAACCTCTCTCCTTTGCTTCAATGAAGGAAAATCTTCTACAAAAGCCCTGAGATAGGTCCTTTGCTTGAATAACTCCAGGGATTGGGAAATCACCCTGGTGAGATTATACTTTTGGGGAGAACGTTCCTTTGAGTTTCAAGCCAGAAATGGTGATGTGATTTCCTGACATGGAAATTTCCTATCACTGCTAATCACCAGCCTTAGCTCTTTCCTCTGGGGACCTGTGGAGGAAGACTCTTCCTTCTTCTTAATTGCCCCATACTGAGCACCAGCCCCGAAACTTCTCATGTCCTCCTTCAATTTCTCCTCCAGTCATTTCAATGAATTGTATTTGCTAAGTGTGGAGGGTAATTGAGTGAGTCCAGGAGTATGAGTTAGGAGGACAACACCCTGGCTCTGGGTCTGCCATTAACTCATTGTTTGGTCCTGAGAAAGTAACTTTTTTCTGGGCTGGTCTGGCCTTCTCAAAATGGGGTAATGGAAGGGGAGGGGGTGGGAAATGTGTCTCAGAGATTGGGATGTTATAGATAAGGCTTTTAGAGTGGGACAGGGCATGAATGTGACTGTTCTGACCACACTTTCCCACCGCCAGGGCAGGGATTAACAGTCCACTCAATCCTCTCCAGGCTCAGCTGCCACTGTGTTGCAATAGCGGTTAATATCCTGGATAATCACGTACATTCTATAAAAAAAATTCGTTAAAAAACGGCAAGACGTTTCCAGGACTCTGGACCTGTAGATAAGAAGAAATCTTGGGATAAGAGACTTCTGCCTGTGTCTTGCAAGGTGCATAATGTAAACAGTCCCATCCTGAAGACTTAATCCCCAATGTCACAATCATGGAAACACGATTGGGAAACAACTTGGGAAAATACCTTGCAAGAGAATATTGGCAGTGTACGTGCCTTGTGCATAGTGATCTAGATGAACTTTTATAATTCATGGGGGTGATTGACGAGCACAAGAGGCGGAATTTCCTCTGGGTGACGTAGCTTGGGTTGAAATGTGGCCAAGGGTTTTGGCAAGCCCAGTTAGGGAGCTGAATCAGACAGCTTTTCAGCATGTGAATAAAATACACCCTCACCCTGCTGTATCTTAGTTAAAAGGAATTAGAAGTTTTAGTAGCTTGAACAATATGTTCCATTTAATAGATCTAAACCATGCTAGGCCAAAAATGCAGCGACTCCATGCACTTTGATCATGATTCCTAAATTTGCTAAAAGGAAGGCAGCTTTTCCAAATATCTTTATGCATCTGTGGGTCAGCCATTAAGTTCTAACATTTTCAAGGGTGTTAGTGACCAAAATGGGGTCCAGCAAGGAAAACCTTCTCCTCACATGTGGCTTAAATAATGGATTCTGTACTAGAAACTGGTATCTTTGTTTTCCCCCTTTTATTTATGGAAAATTGTCCTTGAGGAGCTATCTTAAAAAACACTTAATAGTAAACACAAATCATTTTGTTCATGATCATCCTTCATCAAATGGCACCCACTTTCATAATGAGAAAATGTCCATGTGCCTTAAGTTAGCTAACTAATTAGCTAATACAACTAAAAGAAATAAAAGGATCTACAGACAATGCAGGAGGTGCCAGCAGTTCCAATGAACACTCCAAGCCTGAAATAATTTATTTCTATATCCCCAGGGCGAGTAAGTACTTAGTAAATGTTTGGGAAATTCATTTGCAATCTGCCTTTTGAGACACATTTAACTCCTGTTCTCCCCCTAAATTAGCTGTTTTCTGAAGCATGCTCCCTTCCCCCCTTCCAAGCCCTTGAATGCATCCCATGATCATTTTTAGTGGACATTTTCTTATAAAGCACTCTCCCCTTTTGCTTTTAAAAACACTACACTAGTTTTTATCATGGAGATAATGCATTGGAAACAGAAGTTCGGATTTGAGTCTTATTAGAACAGTCTGGCTGTGCCTTTCTGACTACTGTAAAGAATTAAAAAAAAAAATTAGCAGTGAAACTTGAGCTAAAATACATTCTTAAGTAAATAAACTATGACAAAAGCAAAATAAATAAGTGGCAGGGAGTTTCTCAAAGCGGCAAGACTGGTAGGATGTTAAGAAATTCGTGTTAGTTGGATAAACTTCTGAATCCACCAGATCCCCTACGGAGCAAGGGGCCAATCAGAAGGCTCTTGGCACAAACGTTACTTTTAGGGAAGGAAGAGATAAGCAGCCCTGTCGGGCTTCTTCCTGTTCAAATCCTTTCGTGCGCCCAAGGTGGGTAAGCCTGCCATGCCCAATATAGACAGGTGCAGAGAGAGAATTTTATTTTCTTAAATGGAGTATTTATTAGTTCTTGGAGTAAAACTCAAGTCATTGATAAAATATTCCTAGTGTTCTAATAAATACTGTTTTAGGAGTTTGTTGAGCCAATGCTTTCTTCTCCAGCTAGTTTTATAGTTACTGAGACAATTTTCTTTTCTGCTTTAAGAAAAGGGTAATTCCTCCATCTGAGCTAACCTTTCCCCGTGGCCATCTGGTGTCCCCCCACCTCTTTCAGGATCCACTCAAGCTTCACTTCTTCTATAAAGATTCTTCCCAACCCCAGGTAGAGGTGACCCCACTCTTTGCTGTACCTTCACTGAGCCCTGTGGGGACAGGTTAAAGAGCTAACATGAGAAAGAAACTTGGTTTAAGTTAGCCTAGAGAGGTTAGGAATATGCTTACAGTCTTAACCTCTGGAAGAAGAAACTAGAAATTAATTTTTATTTGATTATAACTCAACAGATATTGATTGAGTCCCACTATGGCAGTCACTGAACTCAGGAGCCATGCTGGAAATCTGTCTTCAAGTTTTCTGAGTGACCTAATCAGCCAGATGTCTTACATAATCAAGAGAGCTCCAGAAGGCTTACGTAACAGTGTCAGATGATATTAGGAAGCATCTAGAGGCTATCTAATTCTTCATAGTGCCCACAGCAATTCCCAGCATACAACAGATACTCAAGAAAATTGTGTAGAATACATGCTATTGTTCTATTTTCAATATGCATGTGGAACTATACTTGCTTATTTTGATACCTGTGTCCATAATAAAAGAGAAAGTAGCTTTTCTCACATGACATATATGGCATTGACAACCAATTCATTTTTTGAGAAGTTTTGTGAGAAATGTCAACTCTCCTTTCACTTTTTAAGCAAGGCATGAAGGTGTGTGTGCTTGGGGAAAATGATTAAGGACTTCATCTCTGAAGGGTTTATACTGTTCTGTAGGGCTTTGGACTTTGTTTAAGTCTCTTCAAGTGAAGCAAATACTTCTGGATCCAATTGGACAAATGGCCCAGTGGTGACAAATGTTTGGTGGGAAGTCATGGAAGTGTTCTTTTTCAAATCTTGACCTCAGTAATTTATACATCCATTTAGTGATCAGTGTTTTAATGTTTAGAAACTCATGACTCCTCTAAGCCACACTGTTTTCCAATTAGTACTCTTATCAGTAAGGCTATAATATAAAGTGTTAACTTTTGGGTCCTAAATTTCATAGCTACACCACTGCCTCTGTTGAGTATTCCGTTGGCCCGAAGTAAACCCCTATATATGAATGAAGAAAAAGAACTAAGAGGCAGGGGACCTTCACAATGACATCCACACCGTTCCTATAGCAAGAAGGCTCCAAAGAAGGTTTTATCCTCTTTTGTGTAATCCACCAAGGAGACGTCACTGACGTTCACCATCAGTTTATCCCCTTCTTTCAGGGAGAACATAGCCCCCAGGTAGATGGGTTGGAACCAGTTGCTGCCTATTTCACACACTGACTTGGTCCCCATTAGAAGCTGGGTTGGCTCGGGGTAGCTGTCTGTTACCTTGGTGATGATCACAATGATGGAGTCTGGCTTGCTCGATTGTCTCCCGGGGCCAATTTCACCACATTCAGATATGGTCCCTCGGAACGTAACCTGTGAGTAAACAAAATAGTCTCCCGACTCTGGAATAACCAGGAATCTATTGGTATATTTCATCTGGTTTTTGGTGAAGGCCAAGCCAAGTTCATGTTCCCAATGCAGGGCTGGGTACTGATTTTTCAAGTTCTGTGTAGGAGTTTGTCTCACAACTGCAAAGAGAAGAGAGGTTTAATTGGCTTGTGTCAGAACCTGTGGACATTGCTAAGTGTCTCCTATTATTTCCAGAGAATAGTTAAGTGCAGAATGAAACCAATAGCTAGATGCCTTGGAGAAGAATGAGTGGAAGATATGAGAGTGGACATATACTTGTGCTCAAAGAGAGTAGCATCTTGAGCTGGGTAACTTTGGTGAAATTACTTTGCCTTTTTGAACCTGAGTTTTCTTAGTTTTCATTATTAAAAAAAAAAAAAAAAAGAATAGTACCCGTAGAAAGGATTTAAAGAGATGGTGTAAATAAAACACCTAGCTCTTGAATAGCCTCTAAACTATATTCACTTTTATAACTTTTTTTTGTTTTGAAAGTACTATGCTACAAAGAGTAGATATTTCAGAAAGAGAGTCAAGTGTTCCCTGTAATTCTATTCCAATGCTATGGTCAAAAGCACATTAAATGCACACAGTGATTAATAAAGAATCAACATGCGGGACATCGTGGAAGCAGAGACCTAGAACATTTTAGAAATGTTTCTCATCCAGAGACAAAATATAAGCCAACATAGTTGCCTGTGGAGTAGAAGTGACCCGGGCTTGGGGCCATTTAGGTCCAGTTCCAATTCTGGCTCTGCAACACACTAGCTATTAATCAGCTACGTAGGTTCCTTCTGTTCTCTGAGCCTCAGTTTTATCTTTGTGAACAGGGGCTGAAGCTCCAACGTGACATTTTTGTGACATTGACTGGACTGTATTGTAGTCAATAAATAAAATTGTTTTTTCCCCAAAGTAAACCATCATCTTTCATGTCAAAGTATTAAACAAATCCTATTTCAATTTATGTGTTTTGTATGTTCTTATGTTTGCATTACTCACAAGAGCACATTATATAGAACTTATGAATGAATGCTTTTACGAAGTATGTCTATAGCAGTGTAGGAAAAATGAATAGAATCAAATCATTGAGTCAGATCACTGATTTCAAGTAAGATATTCTGCAATAAAATTAATATTTCCCAGAAGTCAAAACACACTTCAATTACCTGCAACTGCTTTTGAAATCCATAACAATTACTATTATGCACTGACATGCACAGTTTTGGGATAGGTTATGTTTAAAAAGACCATTTATCACCCTTCATACCAGGTGGGTGACCTGGTTCTTAGATTTTTCTAAACTTCATTCTCACTGTTGGCTGGACCTGTGGACTCTTCTGCAGCTATGGCTCATGTCCAGAATGTTTGTGGTCTCCATGGCACTGGGAGTTAACGATCCCTGAAGGGCTCTGGCGCTTCTTTGCAAAATCTGTGAAAGGCACTTTTATTACTGGCCCCTGAAAGTCTCTACTTGTTCTTTGTGGATGACATAGTGGATTAAAAAGAAATTTCCTGTGGTGCAAAAGCAAAACTCAATCTCTAGACCAGGAAGAGTTCTGTAAAGTTGACACGAAATTAGCTATGTCAACACAGCAAGTAGGAGTTTGCATAGGGAGTATGTTCTAATGGAAGGAGCTCTGGTGGCATAGTGCCTAAGGCATTTGACTGCTAATCAGAAGGCTGGCTGTTCAAACCCACCTGCCACTCCACAGAAGGAAGACTGAGCAATCTACTTCCATAAAGATCTACTGCCTCGGAAACCCAATGGGGTTCACTGAGTCGGAATTGACTCGATGGCAGTAGTTTTTTTTTTTTAAGTTTTATAGAAGCAGTGCGATTGTGATAGTCAAGCTTGAATCTTAACTCTTGTACTTCCTAGTTGTGTGACTTGGAACAAGTGAATTTAATTGCCTCTCAGTTTTCTCCCCTGTGGATGAGAATGATTAATCTCTGTTTCATTGGGCTGATGAATGATTGAGAAAATTGACGTAAAATATTTACTACAGTACCTGACACATATCGGGAGCTCAGTTAAAGCTGCTCTCCCCATTTCAGCTCCCACCATTCAATAGGAAGAGGGGTGATATCTCCATATTCAGAATTATTTTAGGATTTGTTTTCTCACCCTGTTCCAAGCCCTCCCATTCTTATAGGCAAGTGATGACTGACGGACCCTCAGTATCTCCCTGATACTAATTTTCGCTCAAGCCATACTTCAAATAATTCCTTTGTTTTTTGCCAAAAATTAAGGCACATATCTTCGGCCATGAGGCTGTCCTCCTGTGTGTTGCAAATATTCTTGTAGGTCAGGAGAATTATACTTGTTTTTAACCCTCTGATTTTTCAATTCCCCCCCCCCCGAACACATCATTCTGCACAGAAGTGCTTTTTCCTCCATAGTCTCAAAGGGCTGTGAAACTCCCGGCATTTCCACACATACTTGGGAAGCTGTACAACTGGTGATGTGATGAGATTCCTCTTAATTTCTTCACATCAGTGAAAACTCTGTGGAAATACCTTGTTGAATGTAGATGTCTAATAGCCTTGTCTTGTGTAGGGCATAGACAGACCTCATACATTGGCAGCTCAGTGCATCTTTCACCTGTGACTAGATTCAGAATTACTTCAAGCTCTGAGTCTGAGGAAAGCCCTTTCTGAATATTTGGGTGTGTGAATGAAAGAGAGAGATAGGAAAGAAAGGAAGATGACTAATACAATCTGAATAAAAACACTCAAGAGACAGGAGCCTTTGGGCCCCTCACAGGGAGGAAGATATTTGAAAACCCTTGATTAAGAGAAGGAATCTCTTGATCCTGTTGTTTCCAGTTTGAAGCCACTAGAATGAGTTTTGGCAAATTCTCTGAATGAAATCTCTGGACCATAGACCATGATCTTCTGGAAAACACATCAAGGACAGTTACCTGTCAGGTGTGCCCTTGGCTTAGCTCCGTCTGGTCTGGGAGGCGAGTCTGTAATGAAAGGAAAAACATGCTTTGTGTGGGTCAAAGGGCGACTCACGTGGAGACGGCCCTTTGGGAGTAGCATGGAGCCTGTGACGGGAGAGAAATATTCCTCACCTTCAGCTTGTGCAGTTCATTCCTTGGGAGATTTTGGATTGAAATGCGGTGCTTGCAGGCAGCCCAGGGGAAAGGGGAGGCTCAGGAGGCAAGTAGATCTTGGCCACATGACTTTGGGCAAGTTATCTACCTGCCTAAGCCTCTGTTTTCTCATCTCTGAGGTGGGCACAGTGATCTCTGCCATGGATGGAGAGTGATCAGCATGATTCCTGACACATGGTCAGTACTCAGTAACTAACAGCCTGCCTCTTCTTTCCTCTTAGCCAGCTCCTGCTGGTCCTGTGGGAATTAATTAGCCTGTGTCTTCTTCATGGTTTCTTTAACTATACCCACTAATGCATATGGATGGCCTAACAGGCCGGTTTCCCTATTATTCCTCTAGAAGACCTTAGAATTTCCTTTTAATTTGCAAAGATGATTATATTGGATAAGTGCACTCTAATTACTATAGTTATGTTGTTGTTGATGATGATTCTGATAAAAAGCAAAAATTCATTGACTACAGTTGAACTTCTAGGTACTGTTCTAATCCTTCTATAGGACTTAGCTCATTTAATTCACACTAACTCTGTCAGATGGGGACTATTAAAGCCATTTTTATAGGTGAGGAAACTGAGATACAGATAAGTGAAATTATGTGCCCAAGGTCACATTGCAAGTCATTTCCAGAGCTGGGGTTTGTGCTCAGGCCATCAGTCCCACACATCATGTACTTGATGGTAGAGTCTTTTGCCTTCTCAGGTCCTGGGGTGGAGGCTCATTTCTTCCTTGAGTTTACATCCTTCTGCTTAGTAACTTGGTCATTTAAACCCATCTTTGAACCTCCTGCATACCAGAGCTACTAAAAATGCTCTTGTTCCCCACAAGAAAAGGCATTAAAAATGAGTACACTTACTAGCTCGCAGATGTGATTGTTCAAACTCTTGCTCCTTTGAAGTCTGTTGGGAAAGACAGGTAGGGTTCAGGCCATCTGTGTCATTCTAGTCCCAACACCCACACAGCTACCCGCGCATGGGTATAATTAAGATGCTGCTCCCTCCCAGCCTGAGTGCCTTGAGATAGGGGCAACGGGAATGCAAATATTTGGATTGATGGGAATCCTGTATCCATGCTTTCTTCCTTCCTCCTCCAGTACCTCCAATGACCTTCTCTCTTGCTTGTCTCTGAAACTCAACTTTAAAATTCTGCCCTTTGGACTTTTCCTGCTCTATTCCAGGGCACCCCGGCATCTTGTCATTGCTGATAATATTTGAACAAATAATGCCACTTGCTTTATTTACTTTTCTTCCTTGCAATTTAAAACTCAGAACTATTTTACAAAAATGAAACAAAAAACCAAATAATGGTCACGTTCTCCTGATGAGCCTCAACAATTGCCCTTATTTTCCCATGAGACAGGAAGACTTTATGATGGCAACCCTACGTCTGAGACCCTTCAGGTTCCACGTGCTGAAGAGTAACTGCTTTGGAGCCAGATATTTTCCCTCTCTGAGCTTTGGTTTTCTCATTTGTAAAATGGGAATAATAATATTCCTTGCCCTAAATGACTCTCAGTGTTAAGTTGAAGATCAAATCATAAAATGCATCAGTCAGTGCAAAGAACACATGAAAAATGAAGGAACCATGCCTACATATAAAGCTCAAGAACAAAAGTGAGTTCTTAGTTTAGGAATAAATGGTTAGCAGTCAAGTGCCTTAGACACTATGCCACTAGAGCTCCCTAATAATTGACAGCGTTTCCAAAGAAACCTTCTCTGATGTAATTTTGACTCAACTCATAGTCTTCTAATTTAGTTCTTGTAACTACACAGTCCCTGCTAACAATGCTATGCTCATGCCATCATAATCACTTGATTGTGTGATACCTGTGGATGAGGAATATTATACATCTGTGTTAAGTATAAGAGAGTATAACTCTATCAGTGGAAGAGAGTGTGAATTGATGTGTTTTTGCATCTGTGTATCTACACGTGTCTGTGGTGGGGTGTGGTGTGCAGAGATGTTGCTCCATATGCATGTGTGGTCATGTGGGTGTGATTATGTCATTGTTGAATCTAGTGAGTAGGAGAGAGCAGGCATGTGAGTAAACAGTGATCTTTTGAGTTCAGACCTCCAGGCTTTTTTCTCTCTCAAACTTCACTACATAACCTCTCCTGGAGGCCTTCTAGAGGGCAGATAGCTTGTCTTTAATGATAATTGACTTCTTTGTCTCTCCAGCTTCTTTCCTTCTGTTTCCTAACACTCTCTCTCTTTTTTTTTTCTTTTCCAGTTGTGATAAAAACATACATAACAAGACGTTCACCACTAACAACTTCCACACTTATAGACTGAGGACACCGATGACATTTTTCATGTTGTGCCACCATTATTGCTCTCCTTTTCTGAAATATTCCACCACCATTAGCATAAACTCAATGCCCCACAAACAAAAGTTTCCCCTTCCCCCACTCTCCTTTCCCTGGTAACGACTAATAATCATTGGTATATATATATAGACACATCTCTCTCGCTCTCTCCAAACTGTCTAGGAATTCTACTCCTCCCATCCCTGGTAACCAACAAAGAAAATTCTCTTCCATGTATAAACCTTTCCTTGACTTTTTACATTACTGGACTAATACATTATTTGTCCTTCTGTGATTGACTTATTTCATTCAACACAATGTCCTCCAAGTTCATCCATGTTATGCAGTGTTTTGCGGATTCTACATTATTCTTTAGGGTTGCATAGTGTTCCATTGTATGTATGTACCACAATTTGGTTATCCATTCCTTCATTGATGGGCACTTAGGTTGTTTCCATCTCTTTGCTATTGTGAATAGTGCTGCGATGAACACAGATGTGCATGTATCTATTAGTGTCCTGGTTCTCAGTTCTTTATGTTTCCTAACACTTTTGATGGCACTACTCCTACTTCTGCTGAGTTACCAGACCTGAAATCTGTGTCTTCTTCTACACATCCAAGGGCTGTCATTTTTATTTCTGCAATTTTTTCTTATTTGTGCTTCCATTCCATGTTTTGGCGCTCTGCTCTGCTGGATTCTTCCAACAGCCTCCTAACAGGATTTCCTGCTTCTGGTGTCTCCCTTTCTCAGATCCATTTCCTAGCTTGCCTGCAGAAGACTTTGTCTACAGCATCACTCTATCAAAACACAATTCTGCCCCCAAAGCCTTCAGTGGCTCTGCATGGCCTTCTAGACAAAGTCCCAAGTACTTATGTTGGCCATTAGGTCCCAATTTACCATCCCAGTCTTGTAACCTGCTCTCAAGATAGTTGGTGGCAACATCAGGACAGTAAAAGATCTTTACTGTTCTTTAACACTGACTCATCTTCATCACTGGTGGGTCACTCTGAGGCACTAAGGAGACGATGGCTCCCTGAGGGATGCTGCAACATTAGCACCCAGATTGAATAGACACGGGCCCCAAAAGCACCCAGAAAATGGGATTTATTTCTCCTTAAGTGTCCTCTTAAACTACTGACTGAGAAGCAGGATCCAATTTTATTTACCTGAACATTATCACTCCCTGAAGTAATAATATTTATTTGTGTATGTATTGCCTTTCTCTCTCTAGTAGAACTTAAGCTTCATGCAAGCAGAAATTGAGGGTGTCTGTCTAGCTTACCACTCTATTCCTGGTGCCTGGGATGGTGCCCGGCACTTCTGTTGGATTACCCAACAGACAAACTATGCAGATGCCCAGGCACCAAAAAGATGGAGGCAGAAAAGACAGCAAAATGGAGTAAAGGTCAATCTCAGTGACTTTAGCCAGAGCTTTGCAATTTAAAAATGTAGGAAAGAGATCTTTCTATTTTAGAATACATGTAAAGTTTTGAGAGTCTATTTAACTGAAAAAAATTATAACTACAGAAAATTGGTTAGCTATAACCTTTCAGTACTGGGACCTCTGAAGTTCTTCATTAGGCTCTGCTTGGAGAGCAAGAACTAGAGATATTTGTTGAAGGTTGTAAGGCTTGGTCGGGGGCTGGAGCCACAGAAGGCAGATGAGTATGCCCACCAGCATGTATCTTGATGGTATACCTGCTACCATCAGGGTTTATTAGCCCAAACACAGCCAGTTGGTACTTTTTGACCCTTAGTTTCTGTAAGGCAGGGAGTTTACATTTTCATTTGATTTTCTTTCTTTTTCCCACTTTTCTTTTTTTTTAAATGTTGGCTGGTAATTTCTGACTCTCAATAACCATGACCTAATCCTATAGGCATTTTTAGAATTACTCAAATTCTTCAAGCTGGGAAGAAGGAAAGATGGAGGGAAGGAGAAGATTAATGTCTAATTCTTTACCAGGGGCCAGGTACTGTACTGGGCATTTGTATATAATCCTTCAAGAGGGGCCAGCAACAACTTTTTGCAGACTTTTCAGCCTATAACTGAGGTTTAAAGAGGTCAAACAACTGTTCAAGTTCAAAGAGTAAGTGGAGAGTCTAGGGTCTGAAACTTTAGGCCAAGTACAGACCCTGGAACATATTGGGAGCTCCATAAGTGTTGGCTGGGTGCACCAAGGATGAAGGAGCCCTAGGGGGGCGGCCTTTGAGATTCTCTTACTGGCATTTCACCAGAAAAATCTTGTGAGTGGTTTTAAACTAGGATTCACTTAGTCTTTACTTCCATATTTTGTAGTGACTCTTTAGTATATTTGTAAACAGGAAGGGGCCTTCATTACTCTGTGTCATAAATGCTGCAACTACAAAGTCATAATGATTTATGGCCCATAACATTCTCCCAGCACTGCTAGAAGAAATACACAGATATTTGGCCTCTTCTCTCTTACTTTGGCTCCACCCTGTTTGTACTTGCACAAAGATAAACATAACCTAGAACTGCTTTATTCTGAGGACATTGCATTTCATCCTCCTCCAAGATGCCCTTGTCAGGGCTTTGCAAATAACATTCAGCATATAACAGAGCAAAGAATGTGGTCTTGGCAGTTGTCTTGGTTCTTTAGTGCTGTTCTAGCAGACAGTCCTCAAATGGATGGCTTTAACAAACAGGGATTTATTCTCCTATAGTTTACGAGGCTAGAAGTCCAAGTTCAAAGTGCCAGCTCTAGGACCTGGGTAAAGGCCCCTCGACCTTGGGCTTCAGCTCTGCCTCCTATTCCAGGCCTACTGGAGCTGGAGGATGTTTTTGACTCATGCAGCAGCTGAGGCTGATGAACCCAAGATTGACAAGTAAAATGGCGCAGTCCCAAGTTTGACAGGCAACACGGCAGACCACTAGTTCAAGTCCAGGAACAATCCCAAGATTGGCAGGCAGCATAGCAGGCCACTGAGATGAAGACTTGGCCAAATGCAGGATTCAGATGTGCCAAAAGCTAGAGACCATCCCCAGAGCTTCTCCATATATACTGGAAGCAGGCCACGCCCCAAAGGCAGCTACTAATTGCTCACAGCAGATTCCACCATGGAGATGATTACCCTTTCATCATGGAGGACAACTACGTCCAGCTGCCCAGCCACTCAAAACCATGGCCCAGCCAAGTTAATACACAACCTTAACTACCACAGCAGTGTAGCACACTTGAAAGTCCCAGCTGTTACTTCTTTACTTTTCTGACGTTAGTATGTTACCTGACCTCAGTGAGACTCATTTTCCTTATCAATAAAAGCAGAGAATGATTCTTCCTTCCCAGTACCATTGTGACAGACCATACACCTAAAGAGGGTATCCCATTCATTTCTCTTCTTTCTTTGGGCTCAATAAACGCTTGAGGTATGTACTCCTGGTTCGTGCATCATCCCTCTGATCTTATCACTATAGTTGTAGACTCTTCCTGCCCATTTTGAAATTCAAGCTTGTTGCTTTTGCCAGCTACTCAGCCCTATTAAGAAGACCAGACAGGGAGATAAACTCTTGTTATCACTCTGCTGTGATGGCACTGTGGTGTGTTGTCTGTCTGAGGACTCAGAACTCGAGGTGTGAATGAATGATGTGTGAATGAGGTGTGGGTTCACTTGAATGAGTGAATGAGTGATTCTGAAACCCCCAGCTATAAGCTGCCTGGATGCTGAGGGTTCAAACTCACAGCTCTCCCTTCTGCAGCACACCTTCACTACCTCTGGGCCCTTTGCCCTCAGCCTGACCTTTGTAACGTATGGGGCTTGTCTTGGGCACATGCCGTGCAGAAGCTCCCTGAGGTGGCAACAGAGACAGTGTCACTGTGGTGTCAGCATTTTGCAGTTTACTGAACACTTTTATCTCAATTATCTGTTTGTTTTCTCTAGAAAACTGTGAGATAGAATTGTCATTATTGTCGTCATTTGAAAGAAGAGGAAACTTGAGTGAGATAAAAGGGTTTGTCCACCCAGGGTAGGGTGTGTAGAGAAATGATGTGAGCTGTGTATCTGCCTGACATCAGCAGCTTTCTGTGGCAACAGCTTTCTGAGCATCTTAGACATTTTCCCACACAGCATTATTAAGAAGCCCATTAACCTCCTCATTTTGTAGACAGGGAAATCTAATATCTCATTTTTCTTCTAAGCCCATTTCTCCATGCTGCTCTCCTTCCAGCAAACACTCAGTGCCTTCTGTGTGCCAGGTAAAGCTATGTGCTCTGAGAGGGTGGAGTGGACTGGCATTTATTGAGCGCTTACTTTGTGCCAAGCACTTCCCAGGGTGGTGTTGTCATTAAATCCTTCTGACTACGCTGGGAAGTGAATAATTTGCCTGCACTTGTACCCAGAGGCAAACAAGCATAGTGGTTAGGAGGGACATATACTGTGGGTTTGAATGCCAAGGTCCTGCTCTGTGATTTTTGGCAAGTTGCTTAACTTCTCTAAGCCTCAGTTTCATCATCTCTACAAGGGGGATAATAATACTTTTGTCATCGTGTGACCTCAGGGATTAACTGCGATGATGCATGTGGTAATAATATCAAGCATGTATTGCACATGTGCTATCTGCTGGGTACTGTGTTACCTAAGAGCTTTAGATACATGATCTTACTTACTCTTCTTTAAACACTATGAAAAAGCTTAACATGTTAAATGATGTTGAACGTGAAAAAACCTGGCATATCAAAAGTTACTATGAGAGCACAGCTGTGAAGTAGTGAGGCCTGGCTTTCCCTCAAGTCTGTGTAACTTGGCAGCCTGAGCTCACAGCATGATGGGATCCTGTTGTTCTGGGTGGAGACCACTTGGATCAGAGGCAGGTGTAGGGGGAAGAGGGTTGCAGGGGACAAGGGCCAGGGATTTTCTAGAATGGGGGTGGAAGTGAGGTCGGTGTGAAGTAAGGAGTGAAAGGGGGGTGGGAACATGGAGAGATTGTACAGCTAACCCTAGAAACTGGAGCTATAAGGGAAGGACAGAGACAGGGCAGTTTGGCAACCCTGGGCAGGAACTCCTTCTACAGCAGCCATGACAATTCATTCCATCGTATTGAGTGCCCAGGCTGAAAGCACTGACTGTGTGTCCTGGAGCTGTGCTGGGCAGAAGACAGGCTTGTCCTCAGGGCACTCTGGGTCACAGTGGGGCCTATGGAATCCTTTTGAGGGCAGTGAAGAGCCACTGAAGGGCCCAAAGAAGGCCCAGGCCAAGGTGGAGTTGGGTAGAGAATGGATTAGGGGCTGAGATAAGGAGGGAAAGACTGGGGTGGAGAAGGAGGCACTGAGACAGTTCATAGAGATCAAAGACCAAGTAAAGCCCTCCAGCATCTAAGCATGTTCCCTCTGGTCTGGCGCTGGTGATTCCAGAGTGTGGAGATGTTGTCCTCTATGATGTAATTTCCCCAGTCAGGGAACTTCTCTGGTTGTAGTGATAGTAGTAACAACAGCAGCAACTATCACTTGTTAACCCACTACCCCCTGCCAGATACTTGAACACCTCATTTCTAATTATTTTCATTTCATACATAAAGAAGCTGAGGCCTAGGGAGGTTAGGTAACATGATAAAGCTCACATGGCTAGGCCAGCATTCAAACTGAGTTTGAGTTTTTTGTCCATGAGTATTCCAAGATACAACTCTGCCTAATCTTATAGGAGTCTAAAAGTCCTAAAACATTTTACTGTCTTTATTATTTTCCTAAGGAGCTGTGGTGATGCAACGGTTGAGTGTTGGCTACTAACGGAAAGGTTGGTGGCTTCGTGGGAAAAAGCCCTGGTGGTCTACTTCTGTAAAGATAGCAGCCTAGGAAACCCTAGGGAGCAGCTCTGCTTCGACACATGGTGCTGCTATGAGTCAGAATGCGACTTGCTAGCACTTGACAACAACTTTGGTCACGTTGTCAGAAGGGACCAGTCCTTGGAGAAGGGTATCATTCTTGGTAAAGTAGAGGGTCAGAGAGAAAGGGGAAGACCCTCAACAAGACCCAGCCCCAGTGGCTACGATGCTGGGCTCAGGCATAGTTGTGAGGATGCTGCTGGACTATGAGTCGAAACGGACTTGACGGCACCTAACAACAACACAACAGTAACACCACCAACTGCATATGTTTCTATAGGTGGTATATACATTTTGTACAAAGGGTATAGCTCTTAGAATGCTTTCCCCTCTTGTTGCCCAGCCACCCAGTTCCCTACCTGGAGGCTAATGGAGTTACCAGCTTCTTTTGTGTCTTTCTTGAGATAGTATGTGCATTTATAAGCATGTTCATATACATGATTCTACAATATTTTTTAGGAAAAGGAGGCATATCCTACCATAGATGTTGTTTTGCACTTTGCTTTTTTCACCTAACGATTCATGTGTAATCCTTACTCTTTCCCTTACAAAAAAACATGGGCAGCCCTGACTCCCCTGGTCCAGAAGTCTTGGGTGGGTCATTCTGAGGATGGAATGCGATTTGCTGTGTGAAGCTCCTCACTGGGAGGCTGGCACAGGCTGAGGCTCAGTCATTGGTCCTAGTTGTGGCTGGTCTTATCCATAATTATGACGGATAGCATTCTTCATCTAGCCCTTAGAATGGCATTCTGGCATTGAGTCGGGGGAGATGGGCTGAGTTTGACTCTTGCCTCTAATACTGGCTAGGGGTACCAAAACCAAAACCAAACTCACTGACATTGAGTCAATTCTGATTCATAGCAACCCTCATTGGGTTTCTAAGGCTGTACATCTTTACGGAAGCAGACTGCCTCATCTTTTTCTTCTGCAGAGTGGCTGGTGGGTTTGAACCACTAAACTTTTGGTTAGCAGCCAAATGCCTCAACCACTCTACCACCAGAGCTCCTTGACTAGGATTACAGGCATGGGCAGATCTCTTCAGCCCTCTGATCTCTATTTTCCGTATCCGTAAGACAAAGGACTTTAGGCTGAATGATTTTAACAGGCCCTGTTACATACAATGGCCTGGGAATGTCTGATCAATTTCTATTGGGAATAGAATGAAGTCTGTGACTCAGACCTCAGACTCAGCTTTCTAGCCATGGGAGTGCCTTCCTTCCGTCCTCCAGCAGGCCTTCCTTGAACCACTCCTTACCCCAAGGCTGGGCTAGGAGAATATCTGGAATCCCATCACACTTCTAAGTTGAAATAGCCCATTTCCTTGTCTATCTTATGCCTCAAACTTGGAGCTCTCAAAGGCCAATATTAAGACTGCAGCTCTGGAGCTGCAGGGAGCCTGGTGTAGAGTGCCCATCATAGTAGCTGTGCGCACGTAGCCCTCCTCACATTCTACGCAAGCAAAATGCTCCTGCATGTGCCTTATTTTTATCTTCGGATCACTGATACCAGTGCCTTCTTCTTCTAGAAAGAGAGCTGAGTCTCCCAGCAATGACTCTCTCAGCCCTGAGCTGGGTGCAAACCCCGATGTTTTTCTGAGAGCCATAACATGGAACTACTATGCCCACCCAAGCTCTCCTCAGTGGCCTGGCTTTCCCTCCTTGAATCCCATCTTCCTTCTCCTCTGAGTTAGTCAGTCTCCGTTTGCACCTCCAGATCCACTTTTGCTGCACTCTGAGCTCTGAGACATTGCCTTTTGGCCACTGTTTCTCCCTGGTTCCTTTGGGCCCTGGCTTCCAGTTGTGTCTGGTCAGTGGGATCAGAGAGTGGGAGGAGACAGAGGTCTATGTTTTCCTTCCGACCCTCCCTGCTTTCTTCCAATGACTGTCTTTCTCTACTTAGCCCTCAGCTCTTCCTCCCAGGCCCTCTCCTTGCCTTCAGTTCTCATTGGGTTTCTCTAATATTCCTCCCTCCACTTGCCCTTTCAGATCAAGGGGTGGTAGTCAGCTTCTCACTGTCCCTGTCCTGGGAGTGGCTCACCAGTGCTTGTGGTTCACTTAACTCTGCCAGCAAACAGGCTTTCCTTTAAATGCCTTCCAAACTCTCTTCTTTAAACTTTCCTCTTCTTGCAATGCACTTCTTTGAGTGGGCCAACTGTTCCTTTTCAGGATCCTGATTGCTACATGTGCCCCAGTCTTATCTTTTCCCTTTCATTTTCTTCTGATACACTGAGAAGTTACATGGCCTGGCCAAACCATAGCTTTGAAACGAGCCCACACATCCATCCTCCAGGAGTCTAAATACAGCATCATGGACAGCATTAGCTTTATTCATTTCTTGAGCACCTACAACAGACCAGGCACTGAGACAGACTCAGAGAGTGTAGGGGTGACCAAAGAGACTCAGAGCCACCTTCATGGGGCTTACTGTCCAGTGATAGCTCATGTCATGAAATTGCTCCATGATTGTGGACAAGCCACTGGTCCCCCCTGGATTGTGCCATTTCACTTGCTGGTCTTCCAGATCTGAAGACTCCTGCTGACATAAGGGATATCATCAAAGGTCTTGGTCTGCAGGGGCCAGGAAAGCTCGGGCTCCTGGAGGCCACTCTATGCCTCATTCAAGAGCAAAGAGGCCTTCTTGCTAAAGAGGCACAGGGCTTCAGGGGACTGAATGGCCCCTGCAGTTTTGGTGGCCTCGGAGTCAGCCCCATGATGGTCAAGGGGTCACAGCCTGACCTCATGTACCCTGCAGTCCTCCTCTAACACAAACAGCATTTCCACTCGTCTGCTTATTTCTGCTTTGTGCTAACTGTGGCATGAGCACTGCTGCCTGCATCATGGCCTGCGGGTTGACCCTGAGAGGACTGTGAGTTACACATTAAGCACAGCTGGCTCACGTCTTCACTGCTTTGAAGTTGGCCAAGATTGGTTGGAAACCAGGTTTCCAATGGAACCTAGCGGGGAAACTGATTTTCTTAGCTGGAATTTGATACTTTGGGGAAAATTAAATCACTCACCATAGATCACGCAGGAGCATTTTAAAAAAGAAAAGTACTTGAATAGCACATTCCTCAGGCTTGCACTTACATTTTTGCTGTTCCTAGTGTAGGATAACAATTTTCTCCTGGCCACTTGGAGCCCTCTCAACATTGTTCTTATATATATA